CGCCCCGTGAAAATCCGGTGCACCACTGCCCCTGAAGTCCTTGAAGGACAGTGTGTGAGATCCCGACTGGACAAATGCCATGTCGCTCCTGAATGCCCGAAGGCAATCCTCCATCAGCTCAACTATCCCCTCCTTGATCGACCCGAAGATAATGGGGGTCGACTCAAGGATGCCCCTGGTGATCTCTGACATGATGAAATTGCGTAGCCTCTCATCCACCGGCTCGGAACCTGATCCTGAACTCGATCCCTCCCCTGAACTGCCAACTGCTGGTCTAGGGCGTAGTACCACCATTCTAAAACACAACATAATAAACATCAGGAACACTGATATATCTCGAGGAATCTCTACTACCACAAGTTTCCTGATCTCATCTCAGCTTTCCCTGATTCGAGTACGGATTATCTGCTTCCAGTAGTACGGGCCCATACTACCTTCCACATCTATCCGTACTTTCCTCAAGTACTGCCTTGACTCCACCAAGTCACTATTACTGCTAATAATTTATGCTACTCCCATCCTAGGCTTGCCCTAGGGAGTTCTCTAACTATACCCGATCCAGTTCTCAGCTGCTGAAAGCCTCCTTATGATGCCAATTACCCATCACCTGAATACCATCACATGCAGCGAGGCTGAGATAATCCTTCAAGTAAAAGGCTCGTCCCTACAACGGTTAGACTCAGACAAGAGCTGCGCAATAGGGCCAAGTCTAGAACTCCGAGATTATTCAACCCTGTTCGCATGTGACGTGATGCATTCACCTAATGGCTAACTCTCATCACTTAGAGTCCCACAAAGCACAAATCAAGTAGCATTCAGACATAGGAGACTACTCAAGCAAGTCTATCCTCATAATGGGAAATTGTACTAGCATACAATGCTAAGCTCATGTTATCAGGCATAACCTAAACATGCTATCCTACTTCTGTCTACTCAATCCTAGCATGCAATTTTCATATACTGAAGCACATAAAGCAGACACATAAGCCATCACTCCGAGATGCTTAGTCCTATTCTAGCATGCTGTTCTACTGAAACTGATAAACATACATAAACATGTATGGGTAGATTGGGGAATACTTACTTGAGCTCGGCCGGTCGCGCACATCACACTTTGTTCCTTCTTAAAACTCTTTACTTAACCTTTGAGAAAACATTTTTCTTTTTCAAAATCTTTTAATCCCTTGATTTGAGCTCAGATATCCTTGAAGGTGTGTTCGAATCCCTCAAACCAGAGTTCTGATACCAACTTGTAACATCGCAAAAATTATGGACCAAAAATTTCATTTTTAATTAAGTGATTTGCAAAAACGTTAGTAACAAAATATCATTCGACCATATCATTTAATAAAACATGTCCCGTGTTTTGTAAACCAGATCGTAAATCATAATAATATCAGATTACAAATCCCAGAATGTCTCATAGTGCGGAAAAACAAGAGCGTGTGTGATATACCGCTACCGCGCCAGCTCCTTCCCCTTGGCTGAAGAGGTACCTGAAACAATAACTAAAAACCGTAAGCACGAAGCTTAGTGAGTTCCCCCAACGTACCGCATACCAAATAACCATATAACATACAAATATTGTCAGGCATATCTGGGTGCCCGACCTACCCCTTCAGTCCTCTCGGCCGGATAATGAATAGCATATCTGGGTGCTGGTCTCCCCTTCGGTCCTTTCGACCGGATACTAACTAGCATATCTGGGTGCTGGTCTCCCTTTCGGTCCTTTCGACTGGATACTGACTAGCATATCTGGGTGCTGGTCTCCCCTTCGGTCCTTTCGACCGGATACTGGGGACTATTTCACCCCCTACCACTACCACATAACACGTATCACATAATCTATTTAGCATGGCTGGGCATGACTTCCCCTTCGGCCCTATCGACCGGTAACCTGGGGACTAGATCCCCTACTACCGCTAGCACATAACATCATATCGTAAAAACACATAACATAACAACGGTAGTGACAACCCTAGATGAATATCACAGAGACAATCATCTAATCATACAATTCCTACTAGTGGGCCGACATTATGGCCTTAGACCCACCGCTACTGGAAGCTAACTCACCTCGAAGTAGCTGCCGAAAGTCTGCTTGCTGAGCGCCTGGCTACTGAATCGGAACTCCCAGACTACAATTTCCATAAACACTAAGTCAGATACTGATAACTAATCTTAAGGTAAAATGACTATTTTACCCCCGGTCAAAGTTAACATCCTGGTTAACCGGACTCGCCGAGCTGGCTCGCTAACTCGCCCAGTCCCTTCCATCTGTTCTAGTTCTACACCCGTTTCTACTCGTCGAGCTTAGCGAAGACTCGACGCGTTCTTCCTCGATGCATACGTACTAAGTCAAAGTTCATCTGGCTCGCCGAGTTAAAGAACAACTCATCGAGTCTAAGGCAATATTCATCGGACTCGCCGAGTTGCTCATCCAACTCGCCGAGTCCACGACTATCTTCATAGGACTCAACGAGTCCATCGTTCTACTCACCAAGTACATCCAGTCCTTTTTCCATACAGACCTAATTTGAGCCATGCAGCGGCTCCAAACCACAGATCCAGGCTTCTAGGGCATGCTTATCACGTAAAGTTGCAAACTTTACGTGCATGCATAGCTTTAGAGGCTTCAAATGCCCAAACTAAGCTCTTAATGGGTTCTAAGCTCAAGAGGGACCTTAATCACCATTATGACCGAAACTTAACACTTAAAGAAGGTAATGAGAGCGCAGATCTAAAGTATAACCCAACCATAATGTTTCTCTTTAGGGCTTAAAAACAACAATTTAGGAACAAACAAGATCTAATAGAAAAATAACCAAGATGGAAACTTTATTACCAAAATGGATGACCACAAATGAATGTGTTCTGGATCTAAGTCCCCTTCCTTAACCTCTTCAACTTCTCCCTTCTTCCACCTTCTCCAAAGTGCACCAAAAGTCCCTTCACAAGGCAACAATCGCTCAAACTCACCAATGGAGGCTAGGGTTTTCGATAAGGATTGCTCTGAGGGTGATGGGGGCTGAGATGGGGTTGTAAGGGCGTTTAAATAAGGTGCAAACCCTAAGGATTGTGGTCTCTTCCTGATTGGCCTACTCGCCGAGTCCATGCGTGGACTCACCGAGTAGATCACTTAAAGTCCGCATCCACTCGACATCTACTCAGCGAGTTAGGGCTACAACTCGCCGAGTAGCTCTTCCCAAAAGAGCATTTAATTAAAATAAATACGTACTAGGAACGGGGCGTTAAACATATGGTACGAATCTTCACACTCTTTTTTAAACAATGGTCTTTTCAGAAAATATCGGATTTTCTGGGTTTTACAAACTACACAAATCATTTTAACACAACATACTTACGAACTCACCAACATTTCATATGTTGACCGTTTTTCAAAATAACTTATATTCTCAGGTAATAGGTAAGCCGAGGAATAAGTACCAAGTATGTTAGGGTGTTTTGTTTATGATATTTATCAAACAATTTATGTATGGATATGTAATGTTAAAACAATGTACTTGATGTGAACAATTCCAGTTGTAATATATTGATGCATGGTGATGTTTATGTTATGATTCATATATATTCATTGTAATGATATTCAATTTAAGTCACGCGAGCCCTCGGATGTTTCCGCCGTCTGATTTGGGGGTGTGATAGGTTGATTCTTGGACTTCTTAGCTTTGGGCCTTATTAGGTCATCATGCTTTCCTTCGTGTATCTTTCATCGCCTCATTGTGTGCCTTTTCCCTTTTTCCCGATCAAACAAAAAACAGGTTGGAAAAAGCCCTACAATTTTGATTGGTTGGGGAGATAAGCGACAATCAATTTCAATGGGGTTGGACATTAGTCGACAATGGGAGAAGACAGTTGGAGCACGATGGGCTAGGTTTATAAGAAGGAGATGACGAATAAAGAGAGAGAGAGAGAGACTAGGTCAAATATATTTATTTTATTTCCTTAATTGTAGAATTTCAATTAAATGATTTCCTTAATTAAAAGTACAAAAAGTCTAAAATACCCTTTAATGATTTATTTAATTATTTATTATTTCTTAAATTCTCATGTATTTAGGCACACAATAGTTGCTACAAACATTTGAACCTAGCTTTCTCTCTCTCTCTCTCTCTCTCTCTCTCTCTATATATATATATATATATATATATATATATATATATATATATATATATATATATATATATATATATATATATATATATATATATATATATATATATATATATATATATATATATGTCCGGTTAGGATCAGTTTAATGGTGATGTTTATTTGATCGACCTTGGTTTGGTAGTGTTTGACATTTAATTAAATTCTTGTTGTATTCGTTTTCTTATTTTAGTCATAAAGAAAAGAACCACGTCTAACCTACGTGCAGGGTGCACATAATGGACATACCAAAATACATTAATATGCACATGACACTAATCACTACTATTTTATTGAATGACAATTATAAGTTGTTGCAAAGCCGACGACAAATGGAATGGAATTGTGACAACATATGTATAACTCAAAAATAGATTTATTAAATTCTCAATCGCTATGTGTTTTTTTTTTCTTTGCCGAGAGGTTTAACTAACCCATAGTGAGGTTGTAAGTTCAGTTTGTTGATGAGATTGTATTTTCTTTCTCAAATGGCTTTGGTTGCTTCGAAGATCAGTAACGGGTTGTTCGATTCACCGGATATGATCACTAAATACAAAACCAAAATGATAAAAAAAACAGCTATGAGTACACTAGTACAGAAATGTAATTAAGCAAAAACCCAAATGTTATTCGTTGGCTCATGAAGTAACAGTGTAATTAAAGTGACACAAGAATATTTATATAACAAGGTGAAATTTACAAAATAATAGGTCAATGCACAAAAAATTATTAAATGCACCATCTCTTAAACAGTTGAAAATGAATGAACGAAACCATAAACTGCGTAATGCAGGAAGCCAACGTAATTAATATAGAACTTTGGTATTTCATCTCCGGATTTGGACCCAGATTCCCGGACTTGGAATGTCTTTATGAACCACAAACAACATATAATTCCCAGCCGGTGCAATGTTACCAGATGGAGGCGCCACCACACCAACTTTATAAGTCGACTTTCCGACAGCCTTGGCGGAGTTGGCGCTGTCAAGCACCAGCAACCTTTGATTCATAGAAAACGAGTGGGTGTTAAATGAAGGTGACATCAATGTCACAGTGACCAATTTTAGGTCCACTGGGCCTGAAACCGTGAATGTAATAGCCACCCTCTTTCCATAGCGTATATTGGATTTGTTCTTGGGTGAGATTATCCTCGGTCGCATAGAAGACGAGTTTGATTCCAAATAAGAAGGCGAAAAGGCCTCCAGACTCAATTCAGTTGGGTAAAGAACATTTGTGAAGACATATTTATCATGAGGATTGCTTCCACCAACAAGAACACGACCATCTCGTAGTAGAACCGCTGTGGAATGGTAAACTCTAGGTTTTGTGCTTGGATTTTGCACCTCGAATCGAGACCCGATTTGGTTATCAGGTGTATAAATCACAGGGCTAAGAACAGGGTTCCTCCCAAGTTCCCACCCTGCAACTCCAGCTGATGCACCATTGATGATCAAAACATGGCCATTGGGAAGCAACAACATGTCACCCATCACTCGAGCCATAGGCATGGTCTCCATGACCCATTGTGGATTTGGATCCGATATTTTGATCCTCCCACAAGTATCAAGAGCTCCATCAAATTTTCCATTATTTGCATTAACAAATGCTCCTGTAGGTGCACCCCCACAAACCAATACTTCCACAGCATCTATTTCCCCCTTTTTTATCCGCAAAGGGAGCAGTACTGCAGATCCCGTGCTTGGGTAGTTCCTTGGTTGACCACCGGGTATTGTTGGGTATGTCTTTACAACTTGGTTCTTGGAGTAATCGAATAAGATTGCACGATTATTGGCAAAAACAAACAAATTTCCATCAGGATAGAGAAATACAAAAGGGTATAAGTTATTCTCAACATTTGGGTCATTAGTCTGAACCAAAAATGGAAAGCTGGGAGAGTTCTCAGTAGCCGACTTTTTGGGGTAGAATTCGTAATTAAATGCCTGGCGTCCTCCGATGATAATTTGTCTTCCGTTCGGCAACAAGTGATTGGTGGCATACCATCTCTGTTGATTCAACCCATCTGGTATCTCCTTCCAATCGCATTTGCTACATGATTTATAAGTTCTCACCCTCCGGTAACCATCAGCCCATCCACCTGTCTGGATCAAGGTGCCATCTGGCATTAGGGTTCCTGAAGAACACCACACATTAGTTAAAACCATGAGTGGACGTACTGTATTGGAACCAACATCATACTCCACCGAGTGGGCTGAGCAATCTGTTGAGTTAGGGCGGCATTTGCCATTTGGAAGAGAGATGTTGGAGACACCAAAGTCTGTACGATCATATGTTACAACACGATCGTTAGGGAGCAGCTGCATGTGCATGGCGGAGATGCCAATGCTTGGGAGGAGGACGGACCATGATCCACCTGCAGCTGGACATTGCCGGGCATGGAGGAGGATCACTAGGAGGGAAAGGAGAAGATGGTGATAAAGGAGAGAAGGGGAGAAGGTCTTCATTAAGTTTGTACTTCTTTTTTGTTTATTTGATTGGGGATAATTGGTCAGGTGGTTGTGTGTTTTGGAGGTGATGTTGGGTCGTTTAAATACTAGTTCAAGCATGCTATGTTGATATTGTCAACCGGATGAATGTTTGTAATGAATTTCGAATATTCGTGTTATAAAGTTCTATTTCTATGTTATTTCTATGCACCTTCAAAATAAAGATGTCGGGTTCTTTCACTATAATTATTCACATTAGACAATGATCCGCATAATGTCAATAGTTTATATATGTGTAACTATTAATATCCTCTGTTTGATTTATAAGATCAAAATCATTTTTTTTGTCATGTTTAAATTCTATATCAAATATCGTCAAACTAGCCTTATAAGGTACTTAAAACTCATGAAAATCATCCTACATGAGCCATTGACCATTTAATTACTCTTGGAAAAAAAGACTGTCACAGAACATGTCATGTTTCTGTGATATATCACAGAATATTTTCTGTGATATATTTTCTATCAGCCATTGAAATCTTGTATTCCATTGATATATCAACACATACAACAATTTCTTTACCAAATATACAAGTTTTAGTAATAGATGGATATAATTGAAATGTTGGAGTGTTGGAAATGAATTAAAAAAGCATTCGCTCAATACATGTTGCCTTGACGGGTTTGTTGTCTAATGATTCTGTTAATTCAACATATAAAAAAAATTCAGTCGTTTATGAATTCAAAATGTATGGTACGCCAACAAGCTAATTTTATATACATGTTTTTGATGGCAGGTGTAACCAAAATATGGAATTAGACTATATAACCTGATGCATGACCCTCATTCGTAACGAGATTCAATTTGAAGATCAAGTTTAGTTTATTTTATAACTGTATGTTAGGTAGTGTTTGACATTCCATGGAACTTCTAAATTCCGTATTTGCTGACATTATTGTAATAAAATATATTATATTTATTATTTAAAAAAGGTGCATAGAACAACATACAAAATAATTCTAAATCAACACCAACGATACGGTAGTATTCTAATATTTTGTATTAGGTGTAAGACCCATATATTACACCGGTAGATTAAAATAAAAGTTAAATATCAAAGTGCAAATATTAAATGTGTTTAAAAGTACAATTTAGATTAAATAAAAATGAAACGATGAATAGGTTAGTAATTCAATGTATAGTAATAAAAAACTAATGACATTTTAAATAAACAAGTTGAATTAAGAATTTTTAAAGACATTTTTTGAGTACGGCATTGGATGTCCTACTGATAATTTTTACCGTCATTGTCTAAAATTAATATTTTTAATCTATTTATGGTTTTATAATATATATAAAAAAAGGTAATAAAACATAATAAGACATATAAATAAGGACATGTTAAAATTGCATTTGTAATGTTAAGGTAGTTTGGACAAAACCCAATAACCCATTTTTCTTTGAGTCCTTAATCAAAGAGTAGGCTTTGAATTTAAATAACCTGGATATGATACCGGGTTGTCTTCATGATTAAACATATTGTTCCCATCTGAAACATTTTAATTTCGGGCTACTTTGGATTACATGTTACAATTATGAAAAATATTTGGGTATCAAAACCATTTACATACTGTGAAGATATAACCTGTTTTTTTCTTCATAAATATAATCTTATTAGTGCATAATTTTGAATCTTAGAAGTCTTACTTTTGGAAGCATAAAAGTTGAAAGTTGTACTTTTATCAAATTTGAATTGCTTCATTCCCATGCTATATTAATTTTATATAAAATTTGAATTGCTTCATTTACGTTCATGTACTTAATGAAATCCTTAAATCATATTTTTCTATAGATATTTACAATAGACAAAGAAAAAAAATCTAGAACAATACATCTAATACGGGATTAGCAGTGAGATTGTGGTGTAACATATAAAATTATAATGCACATATCAGTAAGAATGCAAATAGGCAGCTAATACGGGTATAAAATTAAAGTGCATTGCTAATACAAGTAAATAATATTTTGTCCAAAAATACATTCAACATTTTATTATTATTATTATAGGTTTGCAGCTAACAGCACCAACAACACTTTGTCCCATCTTGATCCCTGACACTATCCTCTACCTTAGTATTAAAAGAAGAGAACTGAAAGTCAGTTAAACAGAAAAATATGTAAGAATTATTTCATAATCTGGCCTAAACTATTTATATCATTATTATATATGTTTTATTAATCTGTAATTAACTAATCTAATTATTTAACTTATTGATTTTCCCACATTTACAAGCAGGTCCTCCAATCTTTATGATGGGCGAAGTTGGTCCCTGTGCATAAATATATAATATGTAGGTTATCAGAAATTGAATCGGTTGGTGCCTTCTTCCCTATCTTTCTCGAGAACATATCCCTATGTTCAAATCAAACCGCTCACTGGGAAACCGTTAAGAACACATATCAATATATCCATCCTAATTGAAGGCAATCAACGGATCATTTGAAGTATAACTCTAATGGCGGGCACGTCTTCATCAAATCAACAACCGATTTCTACGAGTATGTGATTTTCTGTTTACATCATTGTACTACAATCATAAGATATTGATCCTGTCCCGTCTAATTAAGATAACATGTGGTATCAGAGCGGTTTTAATCTTATGATTATGATTCTCTAACCCTATAATTTATTGTTGTGTCACCCAAAAATCGTTTGATGCATACTGTTAAGTCGAACGATTCTCATTTTTTTTTTCGTCTTCAATTTCATGATTATGTGCATCTGGATTCCCGATTTCTTCAAATTGTATGGAACACTGAAATTCTATGCGACTTTAATTTCGTGAAAATTTTCTTCAATTCTTTGTTCCATATATTCAAGGAAACAAACTGTCGGAAATTGAAATCAGATAACAACAGCATATCAAATTGCCCAACTGAAGTGGATTTTGGATATATATTCTCAATACTCAGTTTTCATCAGTATATGGTCATACGAAACATATATTTTGATTCCTGTTATGAAATTGATGCCTTCATTCTTGATATGATAAATTGCTAATATGGGATGATGTTAAACCTGATGGATTCACACGTTAAAATTGTAAAACATTATACACAGTTTTGTTTAATACACTGAATTTTGTCAAATTTGTTATCTTGCAACTTCTGTATTGGTTGATAGTAACCGACCCAACGAATGGTTTCTCTTATAAATACAGAAGTCTAATAATATCGTATTATGAATCTATTGAAATTATTGTTCAATTTGCCCAACGGAAAGTCGAATGATAATTTTGAACAACTTAATGTTTAACATAATGAGAATATAGGTTGTATTTTATCCAACGATAAAGCATGACTTATATGTGTTTTCAATAAGATTATTTGTATCTCACAATTTAACTACTTCACTTGACCAACGTTGAGTTAGTAGTTAAATTATGAAATAATTATCAATAATTTTTGTTTTGTGTTCTTATTAGTTAATTTATTTTTTTTGTCCTTTGTACTCATTAATTCCTTTTATTTTGTTTCTTATTGATAAAGAGCCTAATTACACTGATACTGAATTTACAGCCCCCTAGGTTGGTCATACCGGATTACTTTCAAACATTAACCCACTTAATGGGACAAACTATTCCTCATGGATTGAGCAAGTCAAAATAGCACTTGGAGTGATGGAATTAGACTTTGCATTAAGGGTTGATCGCCCCTCCCCCTTAACTGATAAATCTACAACTGATGAAAAACGTGTTTTTGATCAGTGGGAGCGATCAAACCGCATGTATTTAATGATCATTAAAAACTCCATATCATCCGCTATCCGTGGTGCAATTCCTGATTCTGAAACAGCCAACGGATATCTTGAGTCAGTTGAAGAGCAATTCAAGGGTACCTCTAAAGCCCATGCTAGTACTCTTATCCTTAAAATGCTCACAACTAAATATGATGGATCTGGTGGTGTTCGAGAAAACATAATGGTAATGAATGACATGGCCAACAAACTTAAAAGCATGGAAATGGAAATTTCTGAAGGTTTTTTGGTTCACTTTATTATGACCTCCCTCCCGACTCAATTTGGGCCATTCATAATGTCACACCCCCAAATCAAGGATGGCGGAAACGTCCGGGGGGTGGAGGACTTCATGTATAGTATCATAACCACAATTTCAATAGTAATTTAAGCAAACACAACCAACATATATATAATTGAAAAAGTTACATCACTTGTATGAATTACATGTTTCAAAATCAATTACAATATGTTGACAAAATATGAAAAGTTTGACGCCTTAACGTCCCATCCTCAAAAGCACTTGATTACCTGTTTAGTGATTTCCTGAGAATACAAGTTGTTTGAAAAGTGTCAACACAAAGGTTGGTGAGTTCATAAGATTTTGCTATTAAACCTAATAGAAGTCTTTCTCATGTAAATGTCGCGTTTGTTTCAGAAAAATACGATATTTTCCTTTAAAATCCATATAATGTAACCTTATGACCAAGGGCCAAAATGTATAAGAAATCATTCTTACTTAGAAGAAATGCTATGAGTTCGAATTGATATAAAAAGTGAATTTAAATCAACATAAAACCTACTTAGGCTCTATAAAATCCCGTAAACTTTATGATTTGTTATCTCCCTATATGAGTCGCTATAATCATACTATGACTGTGTGAACCTGCCACGACGTTTCTCAGGCGTCGCGAAAAAAAATGAAATGACATTTGTCACCCGTAGACCTGCAGGTCCCACTGTAGCTAGCAGCAAGGTGTGAGGTGTCAAACCCAATATAGATCTATATACAAGTATCATGTTCTCCCTCCAGGAGACTCTGATTATAACTACTAGGAATTATATTCCGCACTCGGACATACGGAAAGAGAGAATGTCTCACAATATAGGGTAACAAGTTTATGTATAATGTGGGTGAGTGTAAACCTTTTCTGTATGTATGTACTCTTTTAGTACGAGTGTGTTATGCAATATATCATAAACTATACCTATTATAGTTTA